AGCTGGGGGTCTATATACAACACAGACATACATTCAATTGCAATAAGTTAATTCATTTTCCACAATTGCAATAACCTTTGGAGTAATCATTTAATCCATCGATACTTTAGAATATAAAGAGTGTATTATATATACTTTAGGTGAATTACATCTAAGTGTTGTATGCATCTGAGGGGTCTCTTCGTTTTTATTACGGAATGCAAAAGTATAAAGGTTAGTAGAAACTTTTTCAAGGCTTCTCCTCAGGAAATTAAATGGTAGCAGCGGCTTCCCTTAAATTATTCAAAGTGAATAAAGCCTTTAACCACTTTAAAATTACAATTACAAGTTTAAAAGTTCCTGTGCAGTACAATATATTCATATTTGTCATGTCATGTCTTGAAATAAAGGTAAGTTTCAATTGTACCTTAATTTATTAAGGATAACATGAGGCACTGAAAGGACAACAATTCATAGTTGAGATCATCGTTTTACGATGCTAGTTGTTGTGGGATACGGAGGAACGGAGTGTGATGTCATGAAACAATGACGTCGACAGTATACACAAATCGGTACTAAGAGAATCAATTATTTTGTACGACAATCGACGAAAAATGAACTACAGGTAAATTAGCTTGGAGAAATTTTTGCGTTTGTAGTAGTGTATGGTCAAACTGGTTTATTCTGGTTTTGTGCGTGTTTCCACTTTCCACTATCAATTGACGATTTTTTGCTTTAGATTGAAATATCTCGGAAACGGTGCGTCCTAGGCCAAAAATAACAAAAATTTTGACCCCCCCCCCCCCCCGTAGACTCCCCGGAGTTTTAAAAACCTAGATGAGAGAAAAAAAAAAAATTAAATATCAGTCTCTCCTCTTTGAAGTTTCACTTCTATCGTGTGTGAATCGCACACACACCTTTTTTTTTATAAAGTCAAAACCTTTTTCTTTAAAATAAAAACTTGTTTTTATTGAAAACAAAAATCAGAGTGTTGCTAGGGATAAGTATAAAATTAAATAGTAATGTTAGGATATCGAAACATTTTTGTATAGGCCAGAACGATATAGTGGAAACGCGCTCTAAGATCTGAGTAATATACACACCACTACATATGCAAAAATTTCTCGAGACTAATTTCACTGTACGAATACGGAATCGGATAAGTTAGTGAAACCTTAAGTTGACCGCTAATGTGTTCAAATACCAATTGAATAAAACACTTTATAGGACAAAATTTAATATCATGTTCCAAACGTATTTCTATAGGTAAAAGATTGTAATCAAACCTCTATGCTCTATGGTACTAATTTATTAAAGGACAATGGCAGGTCCTCATACACAATTATATTTGAACTGAAATTGAAGTGAATAAATATCAAAAATGCCTTAAACACTTGAGAATTTATTCTCGATTCTCCATTCTCATAACAAAATTACTAGCGAAAGAAGTCTAGGAAAACAGATATTGGATTTTGAATGTTTCGAGGTTAAGTTTGACATATTGTCAATGTTTTGTTTGAAACTAGATGGCGTTGTATGTCAGATATCCAAAAATATTATTATGATTACCATTACTCATAAACAACCCTATTTTGCTGTTCAAAGTGTTAGCCGACTCTCTAAAAGGGTTGAGGTTATTTTACCAATGCACGGCAAAACAGGTGCAATACTAACAGCAGGTGTAATACTAGTTACAAATAAATAAATCAATAATAAATAAATTAATTAAAATAATTGTTCTTCAATATACATTTACACAAGCAGAAGCAATTTATATCTTTATTTAGTTATTGGACAAATAGTAGTTGTTACATCATTTACTAAAATCTAAACCATGCATCCATTATATTGAGATTAATGCACAACATTTAAAGGCGTTAATCATGCATAATAGAGTAACACTATATTAAATTAAAAATAGAAAAACAAAACATCTATGCGAGTTTCACCATAAATTGAAGAAAATTAAAACAACAAACAATTGCCGTGTACGCAATGGTCATGTAAGTCATGCGTGTGCGTGTCGAACGAGAAGAGTGGTGAGTGCGGAACTCGACATGATCCAAACGGCGACATATTGACATTTTAAAAATATCTATTTCTGCCTATTTATATACCGTTAAATGTCTTTTTCTCATTACGTAACTATATTCTAGTTGTTTAGTGTAGCAAAAACCGTCGAAAAAGAGACAAAAATATTCTACATTATTTCTAATTATGTTGATTTAGTCATTCTACCGTACAAGTGAACCCGTGGGCATCATTTTCATAATCATAAAAGGTGAACCTTCGGTTAATATTTCAGCCAAAGTAAAAAAATCGATTATCGATAAAGTGTTCCATAATATAATAATGTCATCACGCATCCCTAGTCAGTTATAAGTGATGGCGAATCTGACATTACGTACTTGGTCAAATAAATTCTTCAAAAATATCCTATCTCTTATAAGACTCATACAACACATGGTCATCACCATAAGGAAAAAAATTATAGAAAAAACATGTTTACTGTAAGTAAATTTTTTAAACGCTTAAGTTTTAGGTAAAAAGTTTCTGTCATTGTTCTTTGTGGCCTTGCCAGCAGGAATCTAGAGCTGTGGCATTAAGAATGGGCTCACTAAGATTAAGATAGACAATATGATACGTTTACCGTAAACCGTACATTATAAAGGAGTTATTGTAATTCGGCTAGAAGAACTCGAGCATTAATATCGTAGAATTTCGGGTATTTTGGTATCTTAATCATTATTGTTTAAGCTATCAACTTCCTGCTACAGTATAGCACAAACCCATATGTGCCTATAATTTTTAAGATACTTGGCCAAAAACATCTCTAATTACGAGAATTATTCACGAAAATGATTTGTTTAAGGTATTTATTGCGATTAATGTTCAGTATGTTTTTCTCAGTGTCCTTATTTTCAATTTTTACAATTTACCAAACAAACGTCAATGTCTACCCGATGTTATGACCGGCTTTTGTACTGACAAGACCATTTGAAAAACTACATGTGTACTCGTAACACAGCCGTGTTACAAACGTGCCATTGTTAAAAAGAGAGCCATTGCACTCCAATAAATTAAATCTAACGGGAACAAAAGCTATGAGTAGTTTATCCGATATGTCTTTAATTACTTACTACTAATAACAATAATTACGAGTGATTTTTTGTAACGCTATCAAGCATTAAGTACTCGACCGATCGCTATAATATTTAAATAATTTTGAGCAAAAGCCGCAGGCAAATTTCGAAGCAATAAAGACTCAAAAATAAAATTTGTTTTTATTACATTTTAAACAGTTACTTTGATGTCAAATTTAAAAGTATTAATAGAGGGTTCTAACAGAAATATATTAACCTTTCAATTCCACAGAGAAAAACAGCTGTCACATTTCTGCTTTCACTTTTATGTTTTATAATGCTACATTATTAATATTCTCATTATTTCTGTTTTTAAAGTCTACAAACCCACGGATTATAAGGTTTAGGTAAGTAAAATAGTAAATTCAAGAATCAATTTAATTATATCGATATTATTTCTGATTTCATAATTTAAATTCATTAGTAAGGTAGGATGGCTGGTAGGAGCTGGATGCGAGAAGCCCAAAATCGATCTAAGTGGCGTGCAAGGGGAGAGGCCTATGTCCAGCAGTGGACTGCGATAGGCTGATGATGATTAAGTTAAGTTGCTGACACGTTACAAAAGTAAAAACGTTTGTAATTCATCGTATACCGTATACATCCTACTCACACCACAATTTTCACTATTCCAAAACGAATCTATAGATAAATAGAATCCACTTCGGTTTCTATTACTAATTGGAATATTCGCGGTTCCTACGTTCATTTAATACCTTTAAACGAACAACTCTTGTATATATGTCCATCTATTTTTATTTTTTCTATTTTTTTTATAAAAGACAGCTCCCGCGCTATGAAAATATCCTGTGTCGCGGGGGATTTTACAAACATTCGTGAAACGGACTCGGAACAACCATTTGTGGATCACACAAAGTGCTGTCCCATGTGGGGATCGAACCCACAACACTAAGCGTAGTAGGAAGCGGTGAGGTGACCGCTTAAACCACTATGCCATCCGTATATATATAATCTGTATATATATATATAATTTAGTATGCAGGGGGTTTCGGGGGCGATTAATAGATCTAGCTAGTTTTCATCTTTAGAAAATTTACCAAATGAAAAAATACCGAACTAATTTCGGTCATCAAGGTACTTTTTCTGAATTATGATGTTGTGAATCTTTTATTTATCGTTGCCATACCTGCCTTTTATTTATAGTTCTTTTACTAACAAAACGTGCAGAGTAAAAAACAATGTTGTCGCAAAACTAAAAATGAAAAAACTTTTTACATTTTTACGTATATGCAATTGTTTTGTAAAATATAATTTTCTCATTTCTCTCCCTTATAGATATTATCTGCAAAGTCTTGGCAGATAAGCTACCAAATCCCCCATTTTAGTAAATAGTAAATATTATGTAAGTAATTATCTGTAATGGCTTAAGACTGAAGATGACATTGAATTATTAAATGTTCAGAATATTTGAAAGATAGACTAAACATCTAGATTTTGTACAATTTAACAAAGCCCTTATGAATCAGAGCAACTTTGATTTACTTTCTCAATTTGATTATATGAAATCGCAAGTGTAATCGAATATTTATTATATTTATAAATTTAGATTATAAATTTCGTTTTACATAAATCAAAAACATAATTTAAAATGACAGTAACTTCGTCGAAATTAAAATAAGACAGAATAATACTCGGTAATAAAATAACAGTTATCACCAGTCACAGTGAAAATAAAAGAAATTTTTAAAATAATATAAAGTATAATATTTATAAATTGTACACTACATTGTTTTTCTTCACAACTGATTCCACACAATATTCACTGGTACTTAAAGCTAATCATTAATACATAATTCTAAATAACTATCACAGTCAAAGTAGAGATGTAGATTTATCTAACTACGAGTACCTTTCTCTTACTCTGGCGAACATTTCTGCATTGTCAATTTTGTCGGAGCCTTCATTTTTCCCGAAGAACGTAAGTCTGGTAGTTTTGACAAGCCCCTTGCTGTTCTCGGCTGACTTCCTCCAATAAACCGTCTGGACTGCGTTCCTTCCTGCAATGTAGCGGGTGGCGCTCCCAATGATCTGGCGCTTGTCCATCTTCGAAATACAAACTTTGTAGTTTATAAAGTAAGCAACACAGCTTTACGCAAAATTAACTTCACAGAGCAAGTGCTGACTTGTGCAGTTGGTGAGTATTGTTTTATGTTTGATGGCATGAGTTTGATTCTGTTGTTTTATATAGAGACGGGCACGTGCGGCGTGTCTGACTGATAAGCAGACCACAACGCAGCTCGTTGTGACGAAGTGTAACAGTATCGGTGACACATTTGTCTGTGTGTCAACTTTGCATTTCGTAAACGCGTGATACGTCATACATGTATATATTATTGTAGTTTTGGTTATAAGGAAGGGGGCAGCCGTAAATTGTTTCTACGATAAGATTATAGTTATGTAGTATCTACAATACGTATGTAAATGAACTGCTTTTTTGTAACACCGTTATGTTATCAGCAATGTACTTTGTTTAATAGTTAAAATAACTTTCGATATTGTTAGTCTTGAATTATTTGCAGAATAGTTTTATAGCGGATAATGAACCGAAGACTATATTTGTTTAGGACTTATTGTTTGTTTTAGTTGTTTGTAAAGATATTAAGAAAAGATCTAGGGATAAAATTTTACGAATACAAAGCTAATATGCTTTGTATTAGAAATCATGTATTTATACAGTATTATTGGAGCGAGTATTATATTAGATCTGTGTGTTATGTAAATATAGTAGTGTTTATAATATTATATATCAAACTTGCTGTCCTACATGATAAAGGATTCATATAATAAATTAGGGTAAAAACTAGAAAACGCGCTTTAGTAACTAGACGAATTAAAAAGCAGAAAATAGATTTCTATAACTTCAAATTTAAAAATGCGTGGGGTGCTAGATCTCAATTCTTGTAAAAATATTTTATTGACAGATATTGGTAAAAGTAAATTTATTACATTATGTAATATCTTGAAAAGCACCCCACGCTTTTTACGATAAAATGATTTTACTTTTTAAAGTTATAGAAAATTGTTTTATACTTTTTAGAAACAGACATACATAGTCCACTTATTAACATATTATAAGTCTCTTATAATAAGTCTCTCAATTTAAGTACTATGGGAACATTGTTACCGGAGACCTTAGAGACGATGTAGATAGTGAACGTGAGCGAAGGTTTCTGGCGGTTAGAGGCAACATGTTGGTGCACAGGTTTACTCATTGTAGTCGAAAGGTTAAAATCACGCTGTTAAAAGCATACTGTCAGACACTTTATACGAGCAACCTGTGCGCTAGATATGACAAGCGGTCGCTAGAGACATTGAAGGTACAGTACAATACTTGCTTTAGGATGCTGTTGGGACTGCCGCGCTTTTGTAGCGCATCTGGTATATTCGCCACGGAGAGAACAAAAGATCTCCATGCAATTATACGTACAATAACCAACCCTTTTTTTTCCGTGCGAAAATCCCCTCGGATACCACCTATCGGTGGCATGTCGGACTCGAACCGACTAAAACCGCATGCCGTCTCGGGTACTAACACCAGGGATACCAGGGAACCAGGTATACCCTAGAAAGGAAGTCCCTGGTGCAAACCCCCTGCTTACAAGAATGCGGTCTACTTCCAATACTATCCTAACCATGCTAAGCAATAAACACGTTGCACCCTGGTTTCGTCATGCAATAAGAATCCTAGTGAGGTCAGGATAATAAGTAAATGTTATGTTACTAATATTAGGCTTAAGTTCATTGTTACTAACACATTAGGCCTAGTTGCCAACTAACAAACGATTATTATTGTATGTGTGTATGTATTACATACATACCAAGCTAAAAAAAGCGTGTTAAATAAAATCTAAAATACAGTGTCAGGTGCTATTATCATGTTAAACAGAATATTTTCAAATTAAAATATTTTTAGATGAAATATTTCACTTAAATTGAAATAAAAAAGAAAGAACACAAAGTGAGATTTCTAATTATATACGACGTAGTGGCTTTATTACAAATCTTCCTCATAAAAATGCATAACCACTGTTCTTTTGTAGGAAGTAAATATAAATAAGGTGAGGACGTGATTTCATTCCTCAGGAAAAAAAAATAAGATGTATTTTTTATTGCTGAAATACGAAAATAGTAGTATATAGTCGTATGTATTGAATATACAGTAATACAGATACCAAGGGCAGATAAAAATGACTGATTTGATACCAAAACTAACAAACACAACGATGAGATGTAACAATCGACCTAGTTTACATAAATATCGATGCCCCCAAAGCATAATATAACACACACTGCGTTACATATTTCAATTAGATAATAATAAAACTGTATCTTTTATAATCATATAGTAATTATCATTTCCACATGCAAAATATATATTTTGCATGAACATTATATACTTAGGCATTGCAACATTTAGTATTCTTTAAATAGGAAAGTTACTAACAATTAATTAATTAATTATAATTATATAATATATATGTGTAATTGTATGTCACTATCAGCCTATCGCAGTCCACTGCTGGACATATACCTCTCCCATTGCACGCCACTTGATCGATTTTGGGCTTCTCGCATCCAGCTCCTGCCAGCCGTCTTGCACTGGGCCTGTGGGCGTCCTACACTACGTGTACGTGTAATTGTCAGATACATGTAAATTTCATTTAGTTGTTACAATTATAACCTCGGTGCACCTACTCAACTAGAATTCTACACCACCTACAGGTTGGCTGGCAGAGAATGCCCAGGGCATTAAGTCCGCCTATGTACGATGTATAAGTGCATGAAGATGTAAACTAATAAATAAAATAAGTAAAAAATAAATAACTACCCTGAGGTTTGAATTTTTTTATGAAACTTATATGGTAAAACAGTTTTATACTGAATTTCAGGTAACGTAATAAAGTATTTTGGTACATATTACATAAAACTATGCAGTTATTAGATACTAATATATTTATGTAGATTTTAAATGAGAATACAAACTTACACGTATAATACACGTGGGTAAAATGATGCTGATTTATTCGCTATATACAGCTATTGGACTCTGGACTTCGTTCTGTACAGTTAAATATTCTATATTTATCCTATTTCTTTCTACCTTAATAGGAAGCAATTGAAACAATAGAAACGTGTTCTTACACGTTTCGTTAAATATATAGAGAAGTTAAAGAATAGAAAGTCAATGGGGAATTTTATTCTATGTACATAATAAACAAAAACATAGGCGTAAGATAGTTTAGGTAATAGACAATCGGAAAATATTATACGACAAAAAATAATTCAAATGCTTTGGTTTCTTGTTTTGGTTGTCTTACAATATGCGAAACCGCCATGAGAATACATCATCACTTCAGTAAAAAACTTTTGCTAACTTTCGAGTATTTATTTTGTCTCTTGTGTTCTATTTAAATGATAAATTAATACAATGAACAATAGTATAATAATGGAACAGCTCATTCTTAGTAGGGATGATTTAATTTTAAATTTTCATCAACATGATGTCATGACGAATGCACAACACACCTGAATACTGTGTATTTCCTTAAAGGGTCAAAGCAAAGTCACGTATTGTACACTCGAATTTCACGGTCTCAATAACATAAGAAGAAGGCAAGTCAAGTCTATTTTCGTCAATTGCGTACTTAAAAATTAAATTCTAAGGATTATATGGATAGGATTGGGGAACGTAAGAAATCATTTAGAACAGTATATTTGCAACCGCTGGACAATCCGAACTGTCGAACCTTAAATGTTAGAGATTAAAAATATAAAGTTGATAATATGCATTTTGCACGTACAAAATAATTAAACTTAAAGTAAATGTTCTGGTTTAATGTTGGCTCAGGATCAAACACTTACACCCCCGTCGATGGCTGCATCAGCCGGAGACGACGGGGGCAGCGAGGTTGATGTTCCGCCCGTCAGGGAATCGGAGTTGGGGGCGGCTGTTCTACGGATTAGATCCAAGAACACTGCCCCCGGGCCGGACAGGGTTCCAGCCCGAGCCCTCGACTACATGTCGGACCACCTCAGGGGGGTGTTGGACGCTAGCCTGGCGTCCGGACGCTTCCCTGAGCGCTGGAAATGCGGGAAGCTGGTCCTGCTGCAGAAGCCGGGACGGCCTGCCGAATCGGTCGCGGCCTATAGGCCTATCGTGTTGCTGGACGAGGCGGGTAAACTTTTTGAGAGGGTGCTCTCTGCCCGCATCGTCCGGCACCTTTGCGAGGTTGGCCCCGATCTGTCGGACGCCCAATTCGGTTTCCGAGCGGGGCGTTCGACGATCGATGCCGTAATGCGCCTTAGGGCCGTGACCGAGGAGGCCGTGAGCTGCGGCGGAGTGGTGTTGGCGGTGTCCTTGGACATCGCCAACGCCTTCAATAGTCTGCCATTCAGCTGCATCAGGGAAGCGCTCCGCTACCACGGAGTGCCAGAGTACCTGAGGCGGCTGGTGGCAGATTATCTTGAGGAGCGAACCGTCATGTACGAGGACCGAAATGGCGTCTTGAGACGCAGGGCCATGTCGTGCGGTGTTCCGCAGGGGTCTGTCCTAGGACCTCTCCTGTGGAACATCGGGTACGACTGGGCCCTACGAGGGCGTCTCCCCCCCCGGGCTGGATGTAATCTGCTACGCGGATGACACAGAGGATATTGGCGGTCAGAGCCATACGCGGATACCGCACGGTGTCCACCGAGGCGGCTTGCGCCTTGGCCGGAACACCCCCGTGGGATTTGGAGGCGGAAGTGCTCGCCGAAGTTTATCGGCGAGTGGCTGACTTCCGGGCGGAGAGCGGATTTCGCCCTCCGCCCGAGGACGTGCGCGAGTGGCGCGAAGCCGCTCGCCAAGCCACCATGGTCAGATGGTCGTTCCGGCTGGAGACGCCACGCGCTGGCTTCGCCGCCGTGGAGGCTCTCCAGCCGGTCATCGCCGAGTGGGCAGGGCGGCAGCACGGGACCCTTTCCTTCCGGCTGACGCAGGTGCTTTCCGGGCACGGTTGCTTCGGAAAGTACCTGCACTCGGTCGCTAGGAGGGAACTGAGTCC